AGGTTGATGATCTTACGCGAACTTATGGGGCTATAAACCAATTATAGGACTATGGTTTGTGGATAGCTTATATCACGTGCTTTTTGGAAGAATTACGGAATTCTTCCAAAGATCACATTAAGCTATCCTCAAGCAATGAATTGGAAGGAAACTAGTTTTGTCAATTTGTATTGTTTCTTAAGTCAGGTAAAGTTACCTTGACCCGCAGTCTCGTCTTGAGCTGGAGCATGTTGGTCTCGGGTCGTATTGATAGAGATTATCTGTAATTCCATATAATCAAAAACTGCTGTTACTCACACTCTAAGCCTACCTGTGTACCTATTCGAGCATCCATCTATATTGACCATGGGAGAGAAAGGAACCATAATAGATCTGCTAAAATGCGACTGACTACTGCATCGGATATCGTCTGTGGGATAGGCGGTTTCACGCGCTGCCCTCGACTACAAAATTGATTATTCGTAAGAAGCTCAACGCCAAAAGGCCTGTTGTCTTCTTCTTACCTGCTTAGACAATCTCCACGTTTCCCAAATGTTATCAATCATACAATGATGCAAGAAAAAGAGTGGATCATTCGTAGCTCTTGTAGTTACGTACATATCACCTTAAATGCTAGTTTAGTAAGCGGTATGGTAATTTCTATGTTTAGCACACCCAATATTTGAAGAAAAATCCCGTGATTTGTGGGCGCACAAAAAATGCTGTTCACCACATATTTATCACAACCGCCTGATTATTTTAGATGATCTATTCTTTATAGTTCTCCAAATTGCCTTCAAAAGTTACAATTTGAGGTATTTGGAGCTCACATGACTCTTACAATGATCTCACTTCCTCATTTCTAGGAAACCTTCGCACTCATCTGTACTCGTTCACCGCTTTCTTCTAGTTCGTAAAGATTAGTGATGTTTCCTCATATGTCCCGCTTCTCAAATAGTCGGTCATCAAACCATCTCATACCTTATGCCAACATTGCAGGATTCTCTAGACAGGCAGTTATGGCCACTGAACATATTCCTATTAAGGCCTTTCAACTATTGATGGTACTTTCGATAACTGCATTTTGCCAAAGAAAGGTTACTATTAGAATTGCCAGAAATTCATAAAAGTAGGACATCTTGGCACTGACTAAAAAAAGGTAATATGTCGATAGTGATTTTACTACGATGAAATTGGAAACGCTAAAAGAAGCAATAGTACTTCTAACACCGTTGCTTTATGAGGTAATCTAAACTGTTTGCATCCCATCGTTGCATTCTACCAGAAATGTCATGTAGGATAAGCGCTAGTCTTCATAGTGCCAATGCGCTATTGGCTTATACTTCATGGTACCGCCCCTCAACAACTATAAAAGAAACTAAGTCGCGCTCCAACAGGAGGAAGCAGCACGAAAGACCGAAGTTGGTTGCAGATGCCTTGCATAGCTGATCCTGTCCCTCCCTTCCCGTTTCTTTCCTTGTTGGATAATATCTTTTTATTTGTGTTGCTCCTCACCTATTGGTTATCTTTATGAGTTACAAGATCTCATAACCCTCTCCTTGTTTAGTGTTCTGCATCTATCCGCCGATTAACCTCACCTATCCCGCGCAATTTGATTAACGATT